GAGCTGGGTAGCACTTCCAGAGACCACCTTCTGCACAGGAAGAGGTCAAAGTGCTGTGGACTCACAGCTTAGAGTTGTGAGCACCGGATTCACTTCCACAAGAAGACAGTTGTCGCACAGCAGAGTATAGCAGAGTATAGCAGAGCATAAACGACTCGGAGAGCAGCTCTGTAGAATATCTCCTTTATTCTATCTACAACTATAATATACAACTATATACAGAGCTAAATGAGGTCTAAACTAAAAAACTGAACTGCACTGAGTGTCTGCAGCTGCTCTTAGCAGCAACCTTATCTATACACACAATCTCTAACACTCAGTCTCTCTCTCTCCGACACATTGACTGACTGACTCTTTGATGTTAGGCTGGAGCGGAATAAGTAGAGAGCAGAACACCGCCCCTCCTCTCTGGAAAATCACCAGACTCATCAGCAGATTCTTGGATATGGGAGGGGTGAAATCTCCTCACTCTGATGAGCTCTGTCTCATGAGAATGATAGGAACAGGTTCTTCTTTGTCTCTGTGCTCCCCTGGATAGGTTCCATCCTTAAACAAGGTGCCATGTTAGAAGCTGGTGTTCAAGCCTTTCGTCTGCAGGGAACAGTGTTCTTTTGTTTCCCTCCAAGTAAATATGTATGGGATTGTGTTGTAAATCCCACGGATATCAATGAATTTCTCACTATCACTGTACAGTACATATAACCTTTCAAAAAGAAAGCATTAACAAATAAGCAACGTTTTATGAAGGATGGTGCTATTTGAAATCTGCTTTCCTTACTAGAGCTGTGTGAACCAATGGCCTCTTGAAATTCTCCACTCCATCTCTACAGGGGAAGGATAAATTCTCCAACAATTTCTTGGGGGTTGGGCTCATCATTATTGGTGGCTGTAGCATAGCTTCTCCCTGCCCCTCCAGTGGTTTTTGTTTAGTTTTTTTGCTACAGCTGCAAGTGGCAGCAACAGCAACTGTGTTGGCAACCTGTTCACCATTTTGCAACTTCCACCACACCCTGGACCCAGCACCATTGCAGGGCATGCACTGGGGGGCATGGGGTGAGAGAATGAAAATGGAGGCCACCACACACACAAAAATGGTGGTGAATATTCAGAGAAAATTCTGCAAAGTGGCCTTCTTTTTCTTGGCAGCGGGGCTGAGTAAAAAAACCAGAGTGTATTCTGAGAAATTAGTTAAATATTCCTGCTTCCCAGACATGCATGCGATGATGGGCCACATTCAAACTATCTGGGATTTTTTGCCCAGATCCTCCATGCCTTTTTGTAAGCTAAGTGCTTGGTGCTGCAACATTGGAAAGAAACAAGTCCGTCTTTAATTCATCAGAGGACTGAGGATCTGACTTCCTCATCACTATATAAGCTTGCTGTCTACTGTCGACAAATTTTTATGAGCCCCAAACAGCATCGTGACTGCCTTTACAGAGACATATGTCGTCTAGTAAGGCATACATTATACATACTAGGATACTCTACAGCATGCAAGGAACAGAAGACTTTCTTTCCCCTCAATACACACACACACACACAACCCTGTTCCTTCCTACTTGTTTGCTCCCACTAATATTTTATTATTTGTATAACTAAAAAAGGAGGAAGGACTTGATAAAAATCCAAATACAATCCCCTCCCCATGTATGATCAGACAATCCCAAGATCCTGGAGCACTGGAGAGAAAAAGCAGGCTTAAATTCAATTACCCCTTCTTGCTGCTCCCCACATTACAGGTAATAAGTGTCGTGTCAGCTTCTGCATGACTGATTACATTTTATGCTGAGAGGGTGCGTATCTGTGAACACAGCTGTGGGTCTCTGCTGCAATAACATGCAGGTTTCATTTCAAAGTTGTAGCCTTTGGAACCAGCTAGTTGCATTAGCCATAACAAGACAACAATTGAAAAAGAAAGAAAACTGTCACAGTCTCATGGGAACCATTTCCTAGCCAGCAGCAGAGCTGAGAGATATGATGATTTCTCTGGGAGTTCAAAAACACTTTTGAAATGGGCTTTGTGGCAAGAGATTTATTTCAAAGATGAAGGATATTAACTATTCAGTGCCATATGGTTTTGTCAGAATAATTCTAGAGATGAGGCAAGCTACAAATGAACCTCAGTAAGCAGAGATAAATAGCAAGATTTAAATTTGGAAATGAAGATTCCACTTTTGTAAACTAGCTTTTCATGATCACTCCTTAAAGCAAATTGGTAAAACACATGGCTGTTCTACATCACTAATCTCTAAATTGCTTCTCTAAAGTAACAAATTGCTGCCTTTGTTTCTTTATTTCATGTGGTTTGTTCAGAGCTGCCAGTAGGCAAGTACAGATGTACTGGTCCCCATAGCCACTGTTATTTTATTTTTTTGAAAAGTTAAGTCTCTAGTCCTCTAAGAAAAATTATGAAATGACATGTGAGCTTCCATCCCACTGCTTGCTGCCCTCACCTTCAATGTTTTAGCCACTGAGTGAACTCAGAGCTGTGATTAATGAGTCCTAAAGATCTGTTATTTCCTTGTCCCCCACACTTTTCTCCCTGGCTTTTGTCTCCTTGTAAACTTGTCAGGTACTCCCTTACAAGTTATTTTCCTGCAGATTCTGCTTAGAGTGTGTGTGTGTGTGTGTGAGAGAGAGAGAGAGAGAGAGAGAATATCATGTGCTCTATATGTCTCTCTTCATGTTTAATGAGGCTTAGCCCCAGGTTAGTGGGCCTAGGCTTTCTTGTGAGAAAGGGGCAGAGAAAGGTTTGTGGTGATAAGGTCTGTTGTGTGCACCAGACAGGGAATAAGCTTTCCTGAATACAGTTGGACAGTGGCGTAGCGTGGGTTGTCAGCAGCCGGGGCAAGGCAAGTAATTTGCGCCCCCTAACCCGTGGATTTGCGCCCCCTAACCCTAACCCCCAGATGTTGCGCCCGGTGCGGCTGGCCCCCCCTGCACCCCCCACGCTACGCCACTGCAGTTGGAACACGTATGTAGACATACAATAATTATGCCAGTTTGGTTGAAACCTTGGAGGTGTACTAATTTGGATGAAGTGAGAGGGAGAACAAAATATGTCCCTTTGCAAAGTGGCATCACTTTGGTTAAAGGTCACAAAATTTGATACCTGTAATGCGACCACTAAATGCCCCTTCACACTTGAAAGAGAGAATAGGCATTCATGAGGGTAGCTCCTGATTTGCTGACAACTTGGGCAAGAAAAGAATAAGAGAAAAAGCTGGGTCTAGATTGAAGATCTTTTGAGACTGAGTTATGTTGTCTGTGTTGCGTTGAGTCTGGAAAAAAATGAAAGAAGCCTGGAATAGGCTGACATTTTTCAAATATTTTAAAAACTCTCTGGATTAAGTAGGGGAACAACTCTACACCCTGATGATAAGGCAAAAATCAATAGGGTGTCTCCTCATGCAAGATGTTTCATTAGCATTTTGTGTTTTTTTAGCTGCTGAAAAGTGAACCTCAGTGTCTCAGACTTTAGAGATAATGAAGTGCTTTTATTAACCTCCCTACCTGGAAAGAGCTGAGTATTTTGCTCCCTAGTAAGTGCCATAAGGTACAGGGGCCCTGACCATTAGGTCCAGTTGCAGACAACTCTGGGGTTGTGTGCTCATCTCGCTCTATAGGCTGAGGGAGCCGATGTTTGTCTGCAGACAGCTTCCTGGTCATGTGGCCAGCATGACAAAGCCGCTTCTGGTGCACCAGAGCAGCTCACAGAAACGCCGTTTACCTTCCTGCTGGACCGGTACCTATTTATCTACTTGCACTTGATGTGCTTTTGAACTGCTAGGTTGGCAGGAGCAGGGACCGAGCGACGGGAGCTCACCCCGTTGCAGGGATTCGAACCACTGACCTTCTGATCAGCAAGCCCTAGGCTCTGTGATTTAACCCACAGCGCCACCCGCATCCCAAACAGTAAGTGCCATAGCCTTGATTTAGATTGTGTTTTAATGATGCAGCCTGATCCACAAGCTGTCAAATCAGACCCAAACATGTCATATGCTTCACAATATTTTGGGTTGCTATGCTGTTCAGTAGAGAACACTGCAGAAGGTCAGATTCAGATAGTTTAACACTGAATGACTGGGGTTTACCCCCCCCCCCCAAGTTACAAAGTAGAGAGAACGGGTACTGGGTTTGGAACCAAGGTGGCAATTTCCTATGTTTTAGTCAATCATCACAGTGTTCAGCTACAATAAATGTTCAGAAAGAGCACAGATCTTTTTTACACAACCTCCACTAATCCAATTAATCCAGTGTCATTGAAGGACTTTGCTGGCAAAAGGGAGAGGTTGGACTTGGGATATTTAGCATCACTAACCATTTCTACGTTTAAAACTTTAATTAAAACAATACAGATATTAAAATATTATGATTTTAAAAGCTCAGTTAAAATAACATCAGGTGCCTCACAACATGGATTGGGTACAGCTTTGGTGCAAAAATATGGTGAAGTCTGGAAACCAATATGCTTCATGGGCAATGACAAAATCAGAATGTCACTATGTCCAAATAGAGAAGGCAACACTAGCTTTGGTCTCTGCTTATAAGAAGGAGAGGGGGGAATGTCAATTTGTAGCAGAAACTGATTCCAAGCCTCTGGTTAGTATATTTTTACCAAAAAAAATCTGATGCCTATGCCCCCATGGTTAACGAGACTTTTCTGTCAATTACTGCAATTGAAATGCATACTTCTGTATCAGCCTGGAGCTAACTTGGTGTTGGATGATGTGTTGCCATGGTCATTTAATAGAAATCAAGAAGAGCTGGATGTAGATTTGGGTCAGGTTCATGTTCATATCAATGGCTTAAGTAAATTAGTTCCTGTGTCTGATGATTTATGGAAGCAAATTGTCTAGGCAACAGCAATCTGTGATGGAATCATTGTAGGTGAACGTTATTTGAAGGAAGTAGAAAGTCAATACAATAGGTTTATGTATGATTTATCTGTTGTTGAAGCAGTATGCATGAAAAGTCTACAAATGGTAATTCTTCACTCTATTGCTTCTCAGCCATTTGGCTAAGATCAAGTGTACTTCCTCATGCTTTAAGATATGATATGTTACAATGTAGTCATGAGGTATATTTACGTATTGGAAAATGTAAGCTCAGAGCTCTAACAGTTTATTGCATATAATGCATATGTCTGCTTGCTTATTAATAAAATCTCTGTTCTAAATTACCATATTGAATTCCACAACTTCATATAGAAGGCAGCACAGGACATTGTGCAGTAGTATGTTTATTTACCACACTTATATTCCACGCAATAACCTCTGGGTGACTTGCAGTATCCATATAATAATAAAGTAGAGCTATCAACTATCAATAAGACTAAGTAGACGTCAACTGAAAAGTGAATTTACTAGAAACTATGAAAGGGGAAGTTGAAAAGTCTTTGCTGGGCATAAAAGGTCTTCTGGTGGTGTTCTGGTATGAATTTTGTCCCTCTTCCACTGCATTTGAGGCATTTGACTTCTTGAGGATGCCATACGAGGCAATGCTGGGCACAAGGAAGTAGAGAGGCGCATGCTGATGCATTGTTAAGGGCACACACCTTCCGTCTGCCTCTGTGCATGGCACAGCAGCAATCTGCCTGCACATGCAATTGCTGACAAGATGAGCAGGTCACTATTTTCAGGGCTGAGTAGGAATAGTGTTTGCTTCTTTCCCAGAGTGATGGTGTGCAAAGGTTTTTGCAGCAGAAAGAACAGCTGGCAATCTTAAGCATCATATATCTAGGAAGCATCAGAAAGGCTATATCCAACATACTCATCCTTACCAGAAAACAACATGAAGTTGTCTATCACACTTGCATAACTTCCAAGAAATTGCAGGAGGAGATGTGACCTTCACAAAACAGTGAGCATCAGGCAAGAGGTAGCAGGTATAAAGACTTCTCGAGGCAGGTATTTTTTATTTGAATTATTTTTCCTTTGTTTTCTTTCCATCATACAGCTATATTCCAATTATCTCAGAAGAACCTTGTTGAAAATGTCAGGGAAGATTTAAAATCAGAATAACAAGCCCACTTTTTTCTACTTCATCTCCCTCTGAATGTCATTTAGTGAAAAGACCCCCACCCAACATATCTCAGGCTTTATGCTTTTCTGCAACAAACAGGTGATGATGTCTGTTGCATCCAAGGGTTCTACACAAACATTACTTTTATTTTATTATTTGAATCAATGCAGGTGGTGGAATAGAGAGGTGGGGGGAAAACTATATTGTTACTCTCACCTTACTTTATTGAGTGGCACTTACTCAGATTTGCTGCGCTTTGGATACATACAGCATTTTATAATATCTGAGGGGTTTCTTTTTGAAAATATCCAGGTTGTGTATAGGTGAAGATGCAGCTTGATACACCATGTTGCAAGGATGCAGAAGTTTCCACCACTTCCTATGTCGTTCCTCTCTTGGCTAACACAAACAACAACACATGCAAGCCAGAGGTGATGTGGCAGGTTAACATAAAATGTGGGGTGTTATAGATCATCACAGTAGCTACATAGATGCTGGATGGTCAGAGAGAGAGGGCCCAGGGAGTTTATAGGAGAGGCTGCACAGTTGTGGAAGGAGACCAAATGACAGGAAATAAATGTACAGCCAAAGGAGATAGTAAGAAGGCAGTGGAGAAAAGAGAGGGGCTTCAAGGAAAGAGGAGAGAGGAAGAAATTAATTCTAGGTTGATAAGTCCACTGGTGAGCCAGCAAGAAAAGAGTGTAGAAGACTGTGGGTGCGGGGAAAGGAATAATTACTCTACAGAAAATAGAGTGAAAATAGTCCTGGGATGAAAAGGGATTCCAAACTCAACAGGCTATCTCTGATTTGTGTAAATGTTGAAGGATGGCTGCAGTTTGATTTGCATATTTTTTTCAGAAATATGATTGCAAAACCTAGATGGAAGCTAGTCATGGCAGTGTGAGAACCACACACTCCTGAGAATCTACCTTAGTCTTTTGCAGATGCACTGATCCACAATTGCAGATATCATAGACACTGATCTCATGATCATTCCAAGTGTAGCACATGTTCTGGCATTGGTGTGGTGAGGGCAATGGCTAGTGGGAGGCAGCAGACATCCCTGCAAAGCAGAGACTTCCATAGCTACCAGAGAGGGGAAGGGCTGTAGCTCAGTGACAGAGCACAGTTTTTGTATGCAAAAAGTGTCAGGTTCAATCACCTGTGTCTCCAGCTAGGGCTAACAAAGATTCCTGGCTGAATTCCTGGAGGGCCACTCACAGGCAGCTGACAATACTGAACGGGATGGACCAGTGGTCTCAATAATTCAGATTGAGGCAGTCCCCTGTGTTCTTATGCAATAACAAACAATGGTGATGTGGCCATAAATGTGGCCTATATATCTCCCCTTCCCTCTTTCATTACATGCTGTTATTTATTTTAAAATGTGTAGTCTAGTCATAAAACTTACCTATCTCTGGATGTTGAGTGTCCCCACATTTCTGCTGCATGCCAGTGTAGAATGTAGACTGGGTTATTGGGGTCCCCCCCCTGCATATTGTAACAGTACATTTCCGAGCACAATTCAAAGTGTTGGTGCACTCCTTTAAAGCCCTAAATGGCCTCGGTCCAGTATACCTGAAGGAGCGTCTCCACCTCCATCGTTCTGCCCAGACACTGAGGTCCCGTGCCGAGGGCCTTCTTGCAGTTCCCTCGCTGCAAGAGGCCAAGTTACAGGGAACCAGGCAGAGGGCCTTCTCGGTAGCGGCGCCCGCCCTGTGGAACGCCCTCCCACTAGATGTCAAAGAGAAAAATAACTACCAAACTTTTAGAAGACATCTAAAGGCAGCCCTGTTTAGGGAAGCTTTTAATGTTTAATAGGTTATTGTATTTTAGTGTTTTGTTGGAAGCTGCCCAGAGTGGCTGGGGAAACCAAGCCAGATTGGCGGGGTATAAATAATAAATTATTATTATTATTATTATTATTATTATTATTATTACTATTACAATTACAACATATGAAAAATACCAGGTGTGAAATGACTTGTAGGTAAGGAGTTTTGACCCATTGGTGCTCTGGTCTATTTCATGAGCTCGCAGAGCAAGAACAAGAATGTATTCCCTCCCCGCTCCTTTGAATGAGGTAATTCACCTCAGAGCTGATTGCTAAACTGATCCATGAGCGCTTGGCACTTGCTCCTTTAATTTTCCACCAGACACACTGATGAAAATGATAGACCCAGACCTCTTACAAAAACCCCCACAAAAAACCATAGTTAAAGAACCTGCAGGATGTTCCATGAGAAAGCACAGACTATTCTTGACGTAGGGTACCAATGTTTGTCTTTTTTCACACTGAGCAATTTCTGATTAAATGGGAAAGGTTTTACCTAAAAAGAAACTTATAATAGAAAGGGAGGAATACTTAGCAAACACAAAGAGTTCATGGGTACTTTCTCCCTTACTTGAAAGAAATCAAAAGGAGCAGTACAATAACTACATTGTTAAGGTAATTTCAGCATTGCCTTTCTGTTATAATCTATCCTGCAAACTATTGAGATTTTTCTGTATCGTGTTGATTGAACCAAGCATACAATTCATTTTTACGTCGAAGGGAGAGCTGCAACTCATATTGAACCAAGGGCTCTGACATTATCCTACTTTCAGTTTATCTTCTCCTTAACGATCTGCACGACAATATTGATTGATTGGTTTACCAACATAGATATATCTCACTCTCTTGGTCCGGATATGGCAGCAGCCATTGTACCTGTCACAGCTTTAAAAAGGCTGCTTGGGCCTCCAGTGACAGAGCTGCATCCAGAAACACCTTGAGGTTTTATCCTGCACCTTCAGGGGGAGTGTAACCCTACCCAGGGCAGCAGCTGACCAATTTCTCAGACGTGGCAACCACTTGCTCGCAGTGCTTCCATCTTGCCAGGAATGAAGCTCAACTTATTTTTTCTCATTCATCCCACCACTGCATCCAGGCAACATATAATGCTTGAGTATTTAAATATTGCTAAATATTGCTACCACAACAAAGTAATTCCAGGAGTGGTCGTCTCTAGTAACTCACTGTGAATTATCATAATATGCTATGCAATAATTCACTTCTCTGCTGTCTTAGCTGCATTGATGTGTAGCCTTGCCAGCTTCACTGGGTTAAACTCTACATGGTTTTCAGTATATTGACATTTTGGGGTGGGGGGAAGTCTCTGCTTTCCCTTTCCAAAAAGAGCAGCTACTACCCCTGCTGGCTATGTTCTACCTCCATTGTCGGAGGCAGTGTGCTTCTGAATACCAGTTGCTGGAAAGCCCAGGGAGAGAGAGCCCTGTTGTACTAGGGTCCTATGTGTAGGTTTCCCAAATGTATCTGGCTGGCCTCTTTGAGAGCAGGATACTAGACTAGTTGGGCCTTTGGCATATGAAGTAATGATGATGTTTAGGTATCTCTTGGCTGGAGAAAACAACATTTCTCTCTCTGTAGCAATGAATTTGGAGTGGGGAATAGATACTAGTCCTTTTGTTTGTCTTTGCCTCCCCATACTTGAAATATATGTGAAAAATTACATACTTTTGTAAAGCAGGTTCTTGAATTAGAGACCAAACATTCCTGTCATTATGGCGCAGAACACAGAAGATCACACAGTAAATCAAATAATGCATGAAGCTACTGGGTAAACTGTAGTAGATACACTTAAATATTCATTCAAAATGTTACTTCTGAAGACCTGATATGTTTTCACACAGGGATAATGAGCACTCTTTGAAAATCTTAGCAATATCTTAACTTCCTGAAGACTAATGCTAGAGCATTTATAGAACAATTAGAGTGGAGGCATGAAACTGACTTGGATCAAATTGCAAGTTATTTATAAACAGTTGAAACAGGCGATATGCTCTGCAATCTCTTCTGTGACTGAAAGAAGAAACATTTCTATTGTAATAACTCCCCCCCCTCCTTGTCCTCTGGACTGCAAAGCTGCCCAAAGTGATATTGCTGAAGTTCATAGAGTGATTTTGGTCAGCCTGGATGTGCCAAGCAGCAATCACCTGAGAAGTTTCTCTCACCCTCAGAATGTAGAACAAGCTCCTCCACAATTGCAAACAATGAGTTCCCAATTGTCCCTCAAAAATTCATCTATTTTTCATGCAAGCACCAGCTGCTAGCCTCAAGTTTATTTCCATTGTGTTTCATTTTTTT